ATTCCCAGTCACGCCAATCAAAGTACATTCCCAGTATTACTTCACGGTCATCCATTCCGGATTCCATGTCTGATACGAGCTAGGAGCGGAAAGCAGCATTTTGAAAACCTACATTTATGCCAGTGTAAATTGTAGGGTCGGAAGGCAGAGTCACCGTTAAATGGGTGTTTCTTGCTCTGCGCTTTCCACAAAACCCCATACATAGAACATGCTGTCATTGTTCCAAACGTTTCCGTTGTGGAATGTTTGAACTACTACATGTAAAGTCACGCGATCTGTTATACAACTACATGTAAGCATGCAGAGATGAAATAGATCAGATCATGCAAACCTATCAAGAGAAATCGTATTACATCTGTATCGATCTTTTTTTTTTACATATTTGCAATATTGAAACGAATCTAAATTTGTGTTTGCTTTTCTTAACATCATGCATATTCAGCAATTCAACTACAGCCGATCGCGAAATAAAACAAAAATGGTTAGGACGTTACATAAAACATCTCGCTGTTGGTTGATTGTATGGCACTTCGCACGAGGTAGCCTTTACCGCCTTGTCTTATATATAAAGTGTGGTGTACTGACAATATAGAGATAGCTTTAGAACTCGTGGGAGATTCGCCGGGTCTGATACTGTTTGTTGATGTTGTTAGTATCGACCCTGGCTGGATGTTCAGTGCTGGACTACCTTCATGTTGTTTATTGGAAACTCTCCATCAGTTTTCTCTCCTTTTTTCTATCAGTTTTAATTTTTTTCATGAATGTCTGTACCATATATAACAATTACTATCATTTTCACCAAATCGAGGCTTGGACAGTTTCGTCAAATAATTGTTTTCTTTACGCTGTTGAAAAATGTAGTTTTAGTGTATTTTCAGGTGTTTTATGTCCTGCGTTATAAGGTGGTAGTGCTACTGAAACTGTTTTGGTGGCGAAGGATCGATTCAACAGGGGGCCGTTACGGCGATTGTAAACAAAGTCAAGAATCCTAGAAGAAACATAATTACTATTTCATGTATGTCTGTGTTGTGTAAAACGTTGTCAATTCAGATAAACTAAATGCAAAAGAAAATTACTAAGGCGTCAGCACACAAGGACAAATCGCCACGTTTTCGACACCAATTAACACACAAGAACAAAATACACACACAACATAAATACACAAGGTCAATATATACATTAACCACAGTTGAAACACTCAAGTACGAAAAACACAACAGCGTCAACAAAAAAGGTTAAAGATATACTAAAGTCCAAATACAGTAGGACAATATATATAACACAGCCCAAACAAACAAGGACAAAATATACCACGTCGTCAAAACACAACGACAAAATACACCCGATCTCAACATTCGAGGACAAATTATGCCACAGCGTCAACACACATAGACAAGCTATACCACGACATCAAAACACAACGACAAATTATACCACAGCGTCAACACACATAGACAAGCTATACCACGACATCAAAACACAACGACAAAATATACCACAGCGTCTACACACAAATACAAAATATACTACTGTGTCGACACACAAGGTGATAAAGGTCATGAAAAACAACTTGGGTCTACAAACAGCTTATCTTAATCACCCCAGATATGTTACACGTAATTGACACCAATAATTAAAGACAAAGGATACTTGAATATAAATGTCCTCGGTTGACCATCCATGAAACAGCACACACAATCACCATAGAAATGTACAATAATGTACTTGATATTTTATGTATACCACTGACTGCTAGATTTTCAGACTCCTGGTATTACAAAAGTAATTAAAACTGAAAACAGATAGTCATAACATGTGAATGTTATCACTATTATCCATATCACAGTATCACGGCACGGCAAAAGTTACAGGAAAAATTCTTACACATGAAAAACCAGGATCAAATATATTGTACAATGTACATTGTATATGTAAACGTATTTTGGAAGATATTAAAAAAACATAATTATAAGCGATTGTTTCGGGTAAATAGGCTGGATGTTCTGAATTGTTTATGCTCTCCATTGATTTATTCAAACAGGACCCCATCACCACACTAATAGCCTGTGTCATGTAATTAATTTTGTCACTTGAAGTATACATAGCTTGTTTCGACTGAATTAAACCGTGCTCCAACACGAGATTACTTACAATACCTAAACAATACATGCATGCCCCAAAGGGTCGCGTAGTAATTCTTCCCCGTCAATGAAACAGAAGGGGCAGTTAAATAGCTGATCATTAATAGAAAAACATGTTATTTTTACCATAAAAATTGTTTATATTGTATAGGTCATATATTTTACTCCATTATTCCTCGAAGTGTCGATTGACTGCATTACGTCTGGGACACATATTACATGCATATTGGATTACAAAACGGATGTTTAATACATAATGTGCAGGCGTCGAACCGATACAACACTAATTGGGTACCATTAGCGTTTACACTGTTTTACTTTCAGTTACCTACACCACAGTCTACAACCATTTAATGATCCATGACTTCTACAATAATCGTTATTATACGTTATTGGTCGAGCACGTTTAAATGACACCATTGTCTCTTTTTCGGAAATAATACTACTCCTTTTAAAGTGTTCGGAATGACAAGAAGCTCGTCCTTTGCTTTCATTTCTTACTGGTTATTTCCGAAACTTGTTCGGCTAGGATATATTTTAGGATAATGCCTGCAGTGCACTCGAAACATTTTATTAATCGACACTACTAAAATTGTATGGCGTTAAATAATGGTTATCATTCTGATATAAATGCAGGAATCTGAGAGAGAAAAAAATGAACACCACCGTAATGATATCGTGACGTCATATGATTAACTGTATAGATTTGAGATTTTCTATTGTCCCGTTCCAGAGCCTATTATTGAAATTAAAATCGATGAAATGTTAATGCTCTAGAGTACAGATGTTACAATAAAGGATATCAATTAGGTGATTTCACAATGTCGTCATCGAGAAGTTGATTAGCTTGATTAGACTCCGTAATATTTTTAAAAGAAATATCATATGATTGCGTAATTAATCGATTGTAATTAATCCAAGCACTGTTACGTTTGTCTTATTTTCGTGAGTTTCGTGATGGAATATTTCGTAAAATGACCATTTCCAACTCAATTTGATATCAGCCGATTCGAGGACCGACGCATGGTACAAATGTAACACGAGAACGCGCGAGCACTTGATGCGCACACTCGACATAGACGATTCCGTCGAAGGGCTTGTTTGTAATCTGTTAAGCTTGATCAACTTTCAGATTAGTTTAAACTCGAAAACTGTCTTTCTCATTCTCCTGTTGTTGATTACCAACCGGCTGGCTAATTTGTCAATTCATTCAAATCACTGAGGGCTAATTCCGAATTTGTATTGGTAATTAAATTTCAGAACCATTGTCATAGTTAAATCAGCAATTGCCAAGAGAGACCGTTTTTATTAATACTTGTGCTTGAGAGCAAAAATATGGTACAACAACAACATTTCGTGACACAAATTGTGATTTCCATGATTATCTACTTTAAGGGAACGGTGTGGTTTCAATCAGCATATCAACTTTAAAGCGTTTGTGTTGCTTTCCTCTCAATATTTGTTGGAACGGTAAGGTGTTGTGGTACAGTGTTTATCATACGGAATCTTTGCGTTGAGGCCACACTGTTATACTCTGTACTAATGGTGTTGTATGACTCTTAATATCTGTAATGAGGGCAGGATGTTGTTAAACTTTTGTGTCTCTGTGTTAAGGGTATGGTATTAACTCAGTATATTTGCCTTAGTGGGCGGTGTTTTGTAACTCTGTAAGTCTGTGCTGAAGACAAGATGATTTAGTCTCACGTCCACAATACCACTTTTCGTACACACACTAACTACAATGTAGCATTGTTAATACGTTGTGCGATACTTGAAATGTATATTGAAATATAGACACATCATCGTTTGATGATTAATAATCTTTTGATATGAAAATAGGAACACTTTCAGAATGCCTATTGTCTTTATTTTTCATTTGTGGTTTTATAATTTCTTAGTTATATAAGACTACGTACTTGCTTCCATTAATATATTACATGGCAATGTTTTTAATTTGGTTAATCGCATCCAAAGCTTTTAACGTAGAACATGTGCATGTTTGCTGACCAATACAACTAAGCTCTCGTGTTATCCTTTATATAATGAATTATCAGTGAACTGTCAAAAGCAACAGTGAATGACCTTGCCGCTTTCTGAGATGAACATTTAATGACATCTGTATTTATAAAGACGATTATGCTATAATTCTGTCGTGATGATAAAACGGTTAATGATCTGAGAAATGTCTTAGGGTTAATGCAAGGATGTGGCAGCAAAATGTTGAATACTATTCAACTCTGGCTTAAGTCTCAGTTAATGTATACTTTGTAAGGCTGATCAATCGGTGTATCAACCTCGATATTCGAGCAGTTCATTCCATGATACTCCCAGGTAAATTCGGCATATTATAACCTGTGTGCAACATGCGTGCGCCGATCATGAGCCTGCGTGCAGTCGTATACTTACTCATTGAATCAGTTGCTTAGTTTGGAAACCCTTTGGTGATCATCAGTCACACTTTCTTTTGTTTTAATGTCTACAATCTTATATATACGAGTCATGGACATGCAAAATACTGTACCGCAAAGACAGCATTTAGGTCAAAAGGTTATCCTTAGGAAATGTAAACACTCTTAGACAAAAAAGTAGCTGGTACTCATAACTTTAAGCATCGCAAACGTAGATTTTCATCAGTCTCCACGTGCATTGCTTTGATGTACTCTAAATCTACCACATGAACTCCGGGAAAGCTAATAAAATAACTCGTTTTGAAAGATAAAAAAAAAGTATTCCAAAAAGGACGTAATTTTATCGGTTTCTTGCTGGTGTTTTTTTTTTTATTCAAGATAAAGTCTGTGATTGTTGATGACATTTGAATGAAATGTGGTTTTTGTCTGACATTTTCTCTCTTTATTGCAGTTTCCGGTCGAACAGTGCGTCGCCAGACTATTCCAGAGTTCGTCCAAATAGGGCGAAGGGATATTACAGTTCACAGAGGGGAGACGGTCGTCCTCAAGTGTGCCATCAAAAACCTAGGGCCAAGAGAGGTGAGTGTAGGCACCGGAATAAACTAGTACATTTGTATGTAAAACAGGAATGCCAAGCGCAGAGTTGAGTACAGGGATAACCTAGTTAGTAAAACACAGAGGCCAACATACGTGAGTCCAGCCACAGTTGTAATCCAGTAAATTGTATGCAAAAACATTGAGGCAAATAAAAGCAAGTCAGAGCACAGGGAAAATTAGTTACTAGAATATACTGAGAACAACATTTATTTTGAATACATAAGTGTTTTCAATCAGATTCATCAATTTGGAAATATGTAATATCAAAGATTTTACTTAATACACAAACATTGTACATACCAAACGTGTCGCAACGTTTCAATACCGTCGTGTCAAGTTATGGCTGAGTGAGCGATTGGTATTTGTTACCTTTACACCGATGTGACAAAAATGTAGTTTCCATATGTCACTCAACACGGGACGTTTCGGCCTATCGAAAGAGGATGTATACACATTGTACCAAATACGTTGTAGATCACTGGTTGGGTGTAAATCAATCCCCCTCTTCTGTTTAGGTCAGTACTAGGTCATACAGATGACAAATGCAAATCAAAGAAGCAATTAAAATCAGAAAAGCTCAAAATTTGAACAGAGACGAAGGGGGGCACAAGCTAAGTCATCTGTATGTTCCACTAGGGAATTAAACGGGAGCAAGATTATTATACATTGCACAGTGTATAATATACATGTATAAGGTTACGGTCACTACAATTATACAAGCTTCAGGACGATAAGATTTAAATGTAAGCTCAGGAACTACGTACGCACATTACTGTATACAGGAACATGTTTCGTCCAGTGAAACTTTGACCATCGCCGGTAACAACAATATCTGCCAAATTTTAATTTCGCTCCTCATGCTAAATTACTACGTAAATTATGTTGTTTACTCATATTCGACGTAATGACATATTTGCCCTCATTACTCAGGGCAAAACAAAAGCAAAATAAAACTGGGCAAAAAATGTAATTGAAGCGAAATTTTCCCGATATATATTATATAACTTATATATACACGATAGAGAACACATACGCGATTTCCACGCATACGATATACAACATTTACTTATATGGTATTAACTGGGGGAAAAAACATACTCAATATTAACGCATGCACAGTTCATGATAAATTAACATAAGATACAATATAGGCATATGCGCAATATGTGTTTACCGTTTGCATTTAAGCTTGGTTACGTAATTACACGGACAACCAATGCGTGTATGTTTAACAAGTACGTGCGATTTTATAAACCAGACCAATTTTGCTGATGAGATTTGGCCATTGGACATTTTGTTTAGCTGCTTTATTTTTTTGTTTCAAGGCAAGTTCGGGGAACGTTTATGGTTTAACGTCTTTGTAGCAGCTCAAGGCAATTGAAGGGAACTTTGATCATACATATAAACGTGTTTGTTGTATTGACAATACATGTACATGTAAGAGAAAGTAACCACTAAAACAACATAATAACGTTTTTTTCTGAAATAAAAATGGTGTTTAAACGTGTGTGGGTGTAAACGAAGATTGTTTTTAGTGATCCTAAACAGACCCAGTACTAATTAAACCTGTGGATGGTGGCGAAGCAGTTTTCTACAAGTAACTTTAATGTTTTTTTGGTTTCAAATTGCGCCATTCCAACATTGGCCATGGGGTAAAACACCCTTGCCAGGCCTATATTTTACTGGCTCGATAGGATGTTGGTAGTTTATTCTATATTGGAAATTGTTTGTCTGTTTTAAGGTTATGTTCGTTTTATCGCCATAGAGCTTCATTCAAGACACTCGTTTTATAGTGAACCCTAAAATGATATTTGGTATTCCGGACATTACTATTTTAGGCAATGGGTGATTTATCCTTGGCCAGCGTGATAAGTAACTATGCACGATAAATATATATGTATACATAACAAGCCATTAACTAGTATATCTGCAGTTCTTCGGATAGTTTGTAAACTCGAGACAGGATCTGCATGCGTAAGGACAATAAGCCACGATGCTTCCAAGTTATAAAGTATAGGTTGGAGTTTGGAGCCAAAAGGCCAACACTTATACAAGGAAATTTCCGAGCAAGCCTATATTGGCTGTGCTTAGCACCATTAATAAATCATACCGGGACAGAAATAACCTGATAAAGAGGAGTCTATGGACAAGTACATGTACTGGTTTCTCGGTATACACATATCAACCCTCTGTCAAAATTATCTTCCTCATTTATATTCAACACACACTCACGTTGACCAGGTCAGTAGCATTTACTTTAATATATTACTCAGGTCTTATATATCTCCGATTTATTTTTAGACCATTTGAAACGTAATGCAAGGATAAGCGTATTTTGATTCTTCGACAACCACCGCCATGTGAATCTATGTCACATCTAAATGATCTCACGTCCTCAAAGTTAATCTAGGGTAGTGAAAACGAAACAAACAAAACACACGAATGACAGACATGCCGCGTGCAGGGCAATTACGGCGCGTGCAAGGCAGATATGCATCGGTCTGATATACGGCCTAGTAGTATTGCATTGCAATGCAGAACGGTTCATATCACAAACAAGTTTATGAAAGATGTGATTTCTGCAATATTCGATGAGGCTTTATATGCAATCGTTATACACGAGGAAACGTTGAAATAGAAATACCGGAAAATGTGCTTGTACAGTTTTCATACAATTCTCAATTTAAATCTATTACAAAACTATCTTATTGCTAATGGTTGTACGACACAGTATTCCGTAGTGTGTTTGATATCATGCATACACTCCGGTTCTGTTTGAATTTGTTGATGCATGCTATAAATCCGAGGTTAACTACGGTCTGTTTTGTTTTTCAAAAGTATGTCACAACCATTAAGGAATATGATTGTTTGAGAAGATTGCATTATTATCGTCATATAATCTTACACCCAGAGCATCATTTATTACTGAGACATGCAATTCTAACATGCGAATTTGACAATGTAGTGAGACTTATGGGAATGATGTCTGCTACCGTAGAAAGACGTTAGCAAGTACACTTTTAAATTGTGTGCTTCGCTGTAAATATGTTTACGTAATTAATCGAGAAAAAAACTGTGTTTTCATGTTATTTATATTCCTGATGGAAGACGATAATGTAAAGATATATAACAATGCTTATACAGGTTCTTACAGTACACGTAAGTAAATGATGCCTACAACACTATTGCATTAATGTGTGCTAATGTATGCTTTATGTATAATATATAAAAACAGACATTTTTCATGTAAAATGTATCTTTATGGTATTTTGTGGATACAACTCTAAGTATACACACATTGTAAGCTATATTGTACCATTAGTTGTAGTAATTCAGCCGGGTAAATGCCCTTATTACAGTCAATGTCAGCTTATGACCTACAGGCGGGTAATGGACACGGTATGTGCGTGCGCGTGATACGGTACATTGTATGGTAGTGTATCTGTGCCATAAATATGAGACAGAACAAACGGTTTATTACTGTTATCTTACTATGCAGTGGCTTTGTCTGACATGTCCCTTTTCTAATCCGATTTTATTTATAAACCGTCCATTTGGTTCCAACAACGACAATGTGTAACAAGTAAAAAAATCTACAAACAAGAACTCTTTGCTTACCGTATACAACATTTGATCCCGAGGGTGGCAGGTTTAGACAGATTGCAAAGTTACTCTAAATGAAATCAACAACCGTTGTCTGACGTGTGTTCCTTTAATACACCACATCTTAATGAAAGAAGAATAGATGAAAAGTGTAGCTTGTTGTATAGATGTACATGTACGTATCCTTACACCTTACACCGCCAGTCATAAAATTATTTGTAAATACATGTAAACAATTCAAAAGATGTTATTCTAAATTAATTTCAACAAATAGAAAAAATAAATGACAGTTAGACATTTAAGATGTAAAACATAATGGACATAAAAACGTAAAACATGAGTCAATATTTAAGATTATATAACACAGATTATAGAATTATATAAAAAATATACTGGCGACACTGGAGACCAAAACTGAAAGAAACTGTGATACGCAACGGAATTGTACTTTGAAATAAGTACTTTTATGCCAGTCTTCGAATGTAACCGAATTATTATTATTATTATTAAAAAGAAATGGCAAACCAAACGACGAAAGATAAACTTCGATTTGTTTTTGAAGTATGATATGAAGATTGGTTGACACGTTTATACTCCATGGTTCTCACATCATCATCACTTCTCAGACAATGCATGCCAAGGGAGACTACACACACAAAATAGATATGCTCGCTTTGCCACTACAAAACGGCTACACACAACGGAAGCCTAGAATATTATGTAAACAGTATCAATCAAACGTCAGCGAGAAAATTGTTTACATTGTACTTACCAAAGATGACATCATTCGTTATGTAAAATTGGGTAAAATAAACCCAACAAATTATAGAAATGATGTAGGAACATTAACAAACAAACTAAACATCCATAAAGAAAAGTCATTACCGGACTCCCCAATATACACAGTTATCGACATATAGAAATGTGTCATTAGACACGGGACATGGAACAATAACAACTCGATATCTGATATGGTCCGAGTCGTAATACGATTCACAGACATAGGCACAAAGTTCCCAAGAAGGCGTAATGTTCTTCCTACCCATCACCAGTCAGATAAGGAGCGACAAAACGAGAAGTCCTCGATAGCAGATCGCTCGGTATCAGGGGACCTAGAGTTGTGTGTGTAGATAGGGGACTCTGTGTTAACGACCAGAGAAACCCTAACGATAATGTGACCAATACAATGGAATACAATTATTACATCTGACAGAAATTGATTTATCCGTGTTTACTGGATCTAACTTGATGCAAACCTCGTAAACGTTAGACGTGGTAGCGATGAGAAAGCTTCTGCATGTACATTTGTAAACGCGATACTTGATGTACAAGTGCTATCTAACGCATTGTCACATCGAATTTGGTGTGTCGTTTTGTGATCAAATCGTGTTTAGAGATGAGTAGGAAACATTTATGAGATAGCGCGGTTTTTACTATTTGAATTGTAATGCAAAGCAAATGTGTGGTCAGAGATGTTTGCAAACAGATTTAGATTGTACAAATTTTCGTTAAAGTTGTTCTGTTAATATTATGTTTCAGATATTTTTTATAACGAAAATCGATTGTCTGTGGTTGCACTATTGAGAAATTGAAAAGTGTTTTGTTGTTTTGCTGATCTTGATAATCAGGCATAGAGTTTTGTTTCCTTGGAGTATAGATATTTAGGAAGGGGTGTGTTTGTATTCCATGAGACCGGATTCAAATATACCAGTATTGGAGTTTAGGAGTTGCAGTTTATGTCATTGCTGAGATAAAAACATATAACAGAACGATTTCAGCAATACATGGTCTGGTTGATCAATATATACCACTCAGTATCGCTACATTGCATTGCTGTATATGTATCTGTTTAACCTCCTAGGGACATTTTTTCCTTTTACCGAAATACCATTATTCAAATAAAGGTGCCGGTGGATACAGATAGATCTGGTGTAGCATAATATAGCGTATATTTGGTAGTGCCGGGTTATTGGTCTCTGAAGTATTTCACGCTTTCCGTCAAATTTCATTATTCAAATACCGTTGGCAGTGTTTTTGAAGATCACTTAACGGTATATTTTCAGATTAGGAGATGCGTGTATGAAGCAACTAGACAGTTTTTGTAGTCAAATTGCAGTTGAATAGCATATTTTCCGGAGACACTATAGCGAATACATTCCACGTGAAGTTTGCCATTATTTTGATAGGTATGTACTTTTGAAACCTGAATAGCGAGTATTTAATGGAGCCGAATTTCCACATGGGTAATTCAAATATTCGTGTGAATATACAAATCTGTAGCAAAATGTAAAATGAATCGTACTTTACTGATCTATTGCTTAGAAGAAGCATTTGTTACAGATACAATCAACTTTTGACTATAGAGTTATAAAGTATAAGTCGGCGTGTTTCACGCTTTCCGTCACATTTCATTAGTCAAATACCGTTAGCAGTGTTTTTGAAGATCACTTAACGGTATATTTTCAGATTAGGAGATGCGTGTACGAAACATGTAGACAGTTTTTGCAGTTAAGTTGCAGTTGAATAGCATATTTTACGGAGACACTATAGCGAATACATTCCACGTGAAGTTTGCAATTATTTTGCGACAGTCCGTGTCCCGAGCCACTACCTACGTGTTAAGTATTGTAAGGTACTTCTCGTCGACGCAGTCACGCCTACTTACAGGTCGTCACTGTTGTCTGTGGCCTATAACTAACAACGTTTAGTTTTCATCGTTAAGAAAAGTGTTTAATGTGCCTGTTAATTCTCATTTCTGCTTTTAATTATGGCATATGGCCATGAAAATGCCAGCTAATAATAGTGTGTTTCGTTTAATATATCTATAATGTCATAAAAACATCATTGATGATATGAAGTTCATATTAACATAAACAATTTGTTTGCTAATAATGTATGTCATGCAATTGCGAGCGATCTCACTGATCATGTATAGAACTACAATGTATATTAAAATAACTCCGTTTTCACTGAAGATCTATGCAATGAAATATTTTGAAATGAAATCAAAAATTCGACAAACAAGAAGCGCTTGGTATACATGTTACGTGTAACAGAAAATGGTCACTTTAACTTTTGTAAGATATAAGTATGAGGGAAAATCGTCAATTTATGTCCTTAGTATGTATAGGGAATATCGTCTTGATCGTTATGCTTGGGTAATTTATCTGTTAATATAAATAGTCAATCTTAAACTTACTCTATTTATGAAAGATATATCTACATGTAGATGATATACAACATCATTCAAAGTAAATACACATCTTAAACAGCAATCTAGAATCTCTTCATGGAGGTCTGCCTGAAAGCCTTTTTTAATGTATTTACAGTTCAAATCTATTTCATGGCGTTTTGCGGAATCGTCGCCAGTAAGACTACCGTGCCAACCTCAGCTAGACATCTACAACCAAACCAGCCTTGCATATGTTTGAACCGACCTTTTTTACGCGTTATGAGTCGTTTTGTTGAAATGATTTATTGATATACTCATGCTTTCCTGCTGAAAATAGCCGCTTTCGCAGCAGTGAACGAAGACGTAAATGATCTTCACTTGCTAATAGTAATAACGAGCAACTACAGATGAACTCCAAGCTACTGTAAGTCCTGCCTGCGTGTTGCGTAACGAAGGCACTAGGCAAACATTCAACAGTGGTTAAAATACCGAAGAGATACCTAGTGTATCACTAGTGTTGAAATCAGTTACTGGAACTGGGAATTATATCTGTAATTCCCTAATTGACAAGTGTTGATAACTTAAGGTAAACTCCTTTTCCTAAAACACTTTATACAAACGATCATACAAGGTATTTGATCATATATTAAAATGCTATAATTTTAAAAATGGAAATCTCTGCAAAAGTATCATTAGTATTTGNGGGTTTTTTTTTTTTTTTTTTTTTTTTGTGTTTCAAGAATAAGAATGATGAAATGATGTTTGTGCTTACAATCAAAGCATAAGGGTCACCTTGAGCGTTGAATTTGTAAATATTTACCGATGTGGGAGATAGCTTAATATTAGTTATAAACATCATCCCGTTATCACATCATTAATCACACGGTTAGCCGAAATATAATTGATATAGCATACTCTATTCTAAATTTATATATAAAACTCTCATCTCCTCAGCAAAATTGCAGATTAATTATACAAATGAACATCACCGGCAAAATATTTACATTGCGTCATAACTTTTCTGTGTCTTACCTCTGTGTTAACGTATGGACGCCATACTTCCATCAGTACAGTTTTGGCAAAGTGTGCTGTCGATTTGTGCTATTCCATTAAATAATGCGTTAACAGAATCATTCGAGAATGCCATTTTGAAGTAACCGACACATTTTTCATTTTCGTAACACTATTACATTATACGTATTAGCTTAACGATATTCTCAGTACTGCAACAAAGAGCGAGTTCATGAAATCTTTAAAGCCATTACTTTGTTTACTGGGGTCATTCGGTGCTCAAAACAATCTATTCATTATGAAAGATCGCGGGAGGTTTAATTTGGTCTTTTGTGATGCGATTCTTAACTCCATTTGAAAGATGAAACAATGAAGAGAAGTGTTTTATAAATTCTATAAACCACAATTAGTTGGGGACATTTTATTGATCCGCTGGTCTATTTAATGGATATGAAAAAACAATTTTGTCTTCGACAGTATTGATGGAAGGAAATATCCTTGCTATTTGGCTTAGCACAACATATATACTTTACTAACAGTATGTGTTCGAGTAGTTGTTGCTTTCTCCGGTATCATACTTATCTAGATTCTATTAAATTCACATATATTAACTTAGGTAATTTTCTGGTTTAGAACGGAAAGCTTAAGACTCATTCAACTTCAGCAGTTGATGAATGGTTATTTTGTTTTCTGGATGAAGTCCAGGAACTAAAACTTCTTTACTGGTCTTCCCATTAATCACCGTTATATTTGTTATCGGGGGCTGACCTTTCACTTAAGATCCTGTCACATTCTGCCTTATGAATGGAAATTGTTTGACCAGGATTGACGTATTTATGTCTTATCTTCTTAAAACGGTCATCTAGCAGGTTACGACCAAAGTGACTCACTAAGGCATAGGTGTCAGACTAACATAGCACCTTGTCAGAGCCCATCACGACCTATGTAAATTTGTTATTTATCTCCATAAGGTCGGATAGTTGGAGTTTTATTTCTGAACATTTGAAAATAATTAAAATTAATGAAATACAAACAAAGAGGTTCTTATTTTAATTGACCTTTACGTTAATTTGTGAATTGAAATCCCGGTGGTCATGTTTCATGTAAAATATATTTATATTTGTTCTTTATGTTGTTGGTTAGACAGTTAAACCATTTCTCTTCCTGTCATCGGAGGTGATGGACATAGCTTACTGTATTTACTCAAATGACCTCATGTAAAGGGATGTTAACAGGTACATCTTCTACATCTTAGAACCTACCGTAAATTCATGTATCAGTGTTAGTGAGGATTGTGATGATTATATACAACATGTAATGATGCTTTTAACAACATTCCCATTACAAAGTACATGTTCAACAAACTTCACCATTAAATCAGATGCACATTATAATATCCTGCTTTAGAAACGATACATTCTATAATTGTATATATGAGTTTTAAAAAAAGAAAAGTAGGTATTGATTCTATTATTTACCACAATATAGATAACCATTTAGTCGGTAGACATATATATAGGCCAACATGAACTAATTTTGTTAGAAGATACGAAACTTTTCCCATATATTTACAATTGAATTTATGATCTGTTTCGTTTTGTTTTGGAATTGTGTATGTCCTGTTCCGCCACACCAGCACCCATTCGTAAATGTCCTGACCCCATTCCTCTTTGTGTTACCATTTTATTAATTTGGATATTGACGTTGATATGATATATGAAAATGTATATGGATGTTTGTATGTATTTCAGGTTGTATGGCGGAAAGTGTCAGAAGCTTTTCCCCTGTCCATAGGAACCCACATGTATGCTCCAGTTGATGAAATGTCCATAGACTTCAGACGCTCAGGCAAATATAAAACTCGCTGGGATCTTATCATTAAAAGAACTGAACCAAGACATTCAGGGAAATACGAGTGTCAGATTGTTACAAAAGGATTAAAAATATATCATATAAACCTTACAGTTTTACGTAAGTATACTTTAACGTTTTTCTACATTTTACTCTGGTAGTAATCGATGTGTGATGTATACTTGCATTCGTTTCTTTATATGGAAAATATATCTTCCTGTTAAACATCAAAGCTGCAAATACGCCATAACTAAGTATTCATTTGTCATTCAAAGTGTTTAAGACTTCAAGAATACAGAATTCAATACCAGTGTTTCATTAAATATTTATTGGGAAAGATGGTTTTATCAAAATAACCTAATAATATCTACATGTAACACTTATTCAGCACTCAGAGATGATCTGTACATACTATGTATACATTTAATCTGTCATATTAAAAATAAATGACTAGTTTGATATAGTTTTAAGCATAAAGGTCATATTCAACCAATCAGCGGACAGGATGTCAAGGAATTTAAGATTGGCAGTGTAAATTATTAAGTGCGTATAATCGGCGGATTGACTCAAATATTTACAGTAATCCCTCTAAGGGATATTTTTACTATAAAACTGTTGCCAACCTTCTTAAATATCCTTTATATTTCTACAGGAAAGTGCATCAAAGTAATAATATAAGTCGCTATGTTAAGCACATGTGCTACATATAAATCCTTATAGAATATAAGCGTTATATATGCATAAACGATGGTTTTGATGTAATTGAATTATATGCAGTTTACTGTTACAATTAGCAGTTATGTCTTTATATTAATTATTTCAATACCCTAGCAATAAAAAGGGATATATTACTTCTTAAACTCGATGATATCAAGTCTGTGTATTTAATGCTAGTATCTAAAAACGATACTACACATGATCGTTTGTTTTTTGTTGCTGTCTGATGTTTCTTTTTTATAACTATATATAATCTTTACAAAACCACAAAATGGGCGCAATTTTTATGTTGTTTTTTACTTCTGTTTCAGCCACTCCGAAGCCTCAACGTAAAGGTAATTCATACTTTTCCTATTTTGATAAACCTTACATTGCTGATACATGTACTACATTGCGTGAATAGACGAACAGATCATAATATTTAATATCAAGATGCTATATAAAACTAAAGCAGAATACCCCTCTTCCTTTACACCGTGTCGCAGGGTTGTTTGAATATGTACCACCAAAATCTGCAATTTACTATAGAATATGAATATGGATACGTTTGTGTCTGGGTTGTCGGTACGATAGTTCATGTTCAAATTAAATTTATGTCAAAAATATTATACCTAGACACGAACTTTTCCTTTGCAGAAGTACAAATACTCTGATTGAATTGTTTCTGGAAAAAATTCAGTCGTGTATATGCAAATGTACAAAGATGGTTCAATATAAACATTTGAGGGTATATATCAGGTTCATATATATGAATAAATGTATGGCTCACGCATATTCTGTATAAATATTTATATATTATACTGCTAAAATATTACTGGTGCTAACTCCTTATTAGTGCACACCTTTGCTAACTGCCATAGGTCTATGAGTAACCCAGATCTGTTGAGTGCATTTCCGCCTGATTAACCCTATTCCTAGTCTAGTCTGTAGTGTGCTGTTCTCCTGTACTTACTAAACACTAATCGGGAGTGTATTTACTATCAAACCCGTCAATGACGTCATTTATATAGTTATGTCTACTTGTACTAATTTGCCTAACCTTCTTAAACGCGACGTCAGCTATTTAACTTTTATTTACGAAATTATATACTATTTGTCACAACACTTGCTCGGGGAATACAACTTTGTAATGATAAGGTCAATTCGAATTCAGTCGGGGACTATAGACATGTATCATGCCCTTGATACAAATTAAGAAGATCCAGACGATATATATATACTATTATAGCTTGACATATCATAAATGTATTGAATGAGTGACTGACGATTCAATTGTTCATTATATAATTGAAAACAAAATTTCAATATTTTTGTCTTTTACATTTTGAACTTGTTCTAAGAAGAAAGCATCATTAATAAATAATGTGTCAGTAACGTTTGGATAGAAACTACAAATCCTATTTAGGCTTAGGATGGAGTGTTACAGACCTAGATTGATGTATTGCAATACCAACCATTAAGGACAGACACTAAGTTTATATGGTTTCAAGCGCGAAAAAATCTATAGTTTCTCATAAAATATCAGAACGTGGTGCGTTTCTAAGATAAAAGCTTTCAAGATGCCGGTCATAAGTTTTCATTAGGTGTTCGCTCTGACGTTTCCATGTGCATGTGGCCGAGACACAGAGATTATGTAACGTCTAAACGAATGTGTATTCAAAGTACGCGACCTTGGCACAACGACAATACATATAAAACATGGTAGATAAAGCAATATGACCTTTTGTGTTATCGCGGGCACAACATCCTTTGTTGTCAGCTGGATGTGTGAACTACCAGACTTTCGCTTTCTTCCTATCAATGTGTTGTGTAATTATCGAGATAAAGCCTGCCAATTCATAGCCTCTGTTTCAATTACACACTGATAACCAAAACATTTGCAATAAACCGCACTGATATGGGAGTTTACGACAATGCTTTGCTGCAGCAACCTGCAATAATCATGAATGTGGGATACACTGGACAGGGCAAAGACAGTATACTTATCATCCGCTCCAGAGAAAGATATAGTTGCAGGAGCATTTTATCGACGTGAAAAATAAATAAATTCTTGACCGTTAAGGACATAGAGAGCTTCACATTTACAGCTAAATATATTTATCTTCAGGTTTAAACAGAAATTTAATTATGAGATCAGGACAAACTATATATTCGGTCAAATATAATACAAATGTTATTATAAATCAAGCAATCTTTCGAACAAACACATTAGTAAAACGGTGCATTATTATCCCTAACAAGATTTATATACATATGTATACGTTCTCATACACCTGTACCCATCCCAACTAGTACAAGTTCTGTTGTATTGGTACAATTACATTTTTAAAACAGCTACAGATAGCTTAATGCATTTGTTCGGAATACACACAGCAACCATGCTTCAAACCTTTTAATTAAGTCGTAGAGTTGCTTCACAGTCATGCCACTTACATAGACTTTAATAGTGGGCTTCACATGCTGTTGCGAGTTTGATTTTCAGTGCTTCTAGAATGCCCGTTAACCCAAAACTAACCAATACTAACCTTTTTGAATGGAGTTGAATGGTTTGGTGCCATTAAAACTTCAAACTCCAGTCAACAGATGAATACATTTGATTCATACATATTTCTTTGCCACTGATTCATACAAATGTTTGTTTCTCAAAAAGAAACCCGTTTGCTTGTTTTATCATAGAATTCTCTCTCAGCGTGTATTTGTCATATTTTGCATTTTGTCTTATCGTAAAACTGTTGCTGTACAAATCACACTTCCGCAGAACATTACCGGTCGACGGAGGAATGCGTTCATGTATCTACGTCACTTTGTGCATGAATCTATCAATCACCGTTATCTTTTTTAAACCTTTGTCCTTTCGGTCAATAAATCTGTAGTTGCGCAACACTTTTTTCCGTACATAGGACAAGTCCTAATGTGCTATACAGAAGCACCATTAATGAGTTGATGTTACATTTCCCATTAGTCCCCATATGCACAAACATTTGTACATATATCATGATTTTAACGTCCTTGTTTTAGATACATCAAACCAAACTGCATGACATATTTTATTAACAAATATAGATAAAAATGTTTAAAAAATTAAAAACAAATTTCTGTATTGATTTTTACATATAAGAACAAAAAATACATGTATGTATAGATTTGACAAAAGAGCAGTAAGTCTCGACAGAATACGTAAAATGTAACAATCATCATGACTCTATTGTTTTAAAAGATGTTTAAATGTATTAGTTATAGCTAAGCATCTAAAGAGATTTTATCTTAAAGTGAAAGTTAAAAAATAGTATGCAATTCACAAATATAATCCGAATGACTTGACCAATATATTTCAACGCTTTATTGTGTCCATGATTAATATCACAGTTTATATATGATATAGTATACATCATATACGATATATAATGTAGTACAATATTTATGCGCCATCTAAATTTATAAACATTGGTATAACTCTTATTCTCTGTACGCATAATAGTTACAATAGTATTTATGTTGATATATTTATCAATAACACAAAACACTGAATATTAAATTTCGCTAGTACTTTCTCCCATCTTGGGGCTCTTCAAGCGATTACATTAATTATTTTACATTGATCCATATATACATCATAATGCATTGCTAACTTGTTCTAAACGTATTATACTTATACAAACTATTTGATGTCATATATAATATATGGTATAGTATTATATGTTGGCGCTGCCCTATACATCTATATATACATTTATATATATCACACCAAGCACCTTTTAATTCGTTAATGCGTCTCTTGCTACTTACTCTTTATAATTATGAATATTCTTATTTAATTTTTTATCTTTATGGTGTGTGCTAACGTAAAAGCATTGTTATATATTGTCATTGTCTTTTCCGTATGTACTTACTAGGGTGTAACCATTTTCTTAAATACATTTGTTTTTAAACAACGTGTATTATTAAACACAACAAAAACTATTAGAAGAACAAAGTATATCTTTACAAACCTCCTGTTGATAATTCGAGTCATGAATCCGGTTAAACTGTAAGCAATGGCCAAGTCAAATGATATATTGTACTGGTTACAAATGTAAGGGAGCATGATAGCAAAATCAAAGTAGCATGCCTTCATGACATTTAACTAAATATGCATGCAATCGTAACAATGAATGGAATGTTTCATATGTTTATATTGAATGTTTTTGCGTCATTTTTAAATAAATTATTTTAAAGTATCATTCTTAATTTTGAGCTTTTTCCTTCTGCTTGCTGCATTGCACGGTGCTGGGTGGCGCTATTCTAGAATTGTGTTTTGCTGTTATGGTTGCTTGTCATCTTGTGCACTGTGGACAATGTATAACTGTTGACTGGAGATGCCACTAATTTTTTAACCCAATTTGGGAGAACATTATTTTTGAAATAAAGCTACTGCTTTCAGGGCAAGAAAAATATCCCTCCAAGTCTGTCGAGGAGGAAGCGAAGGGAGGTAAGCTCAATCCGAAAAAACAGACTATGTTTAGTCAAGTTATTTGCACATGCTAAATAAACCCATAAACCGTCAAACAAATATTTCATTGATACTAATTACGTTAATGAAATCCAATCTAATGTACAACAAAGTTCACTAGCAACAAGTACATCCCATCAATACTTAGCATGTTACCAGTCACACTCCAGTGAAGTGACCATACCTAGTCGTCGCATCTACCTAAACGCCGTACGTCATACTATATACAATTTACAGTATTAGGTTAAATAATGTTTTACACTAACAGTGTTATTGATATGCGGGTAGCAACAACTACACATTATTTACCCTTGCAGACATGAAAGTATAACTTGATTCCTCCTTACAATCAGACAAAACGCTTGCCTGATTTAACTCTACAATTCAATGTTAACACGTTTGTCTGATTCAACCATTAAATCAAATGTCAACACGCTTGTCTGATTCAATTCGACAATCAAGTGTTATCATGCTTGTTTGATTCAACTTTACAATCAATCAAATGTTAACAGGCTTGTCCGAATCAACTTTAAACTCAACTGTTAACAGGCTTGTCTGATTCTTCTTTACAATCAAGTTCATCAGAGAATCCGGTCGCTCAAAGGAGATAACAGTATACGTAGCGCTGCTGTCAATAACAGCATGGCTCACTGTCATGGAAAATCATTATCAATAACATGCTGTTTTTGAGATTGTCATTTGTCGATGCTTTTGCAATTCGATTTTTTTCCATTTCTAAAATTGCAACAATCAAAATTGGCAACTGATTTATCAGATGTATCAATCATTTTTTGTGTCAATATCAAAAACATTTCTTCACTTTCCTTTCAGCAGCTATACAGATAAATGGTACAGTGTTTATCAATATGTACCAGAAGCTAAATTTGACGTGTAATGCGACAGGGGTGACAAGAGCGCCCGCGGCAGTCGACTGGTTCCATGACGGTCATATAATCAACTCAAGCGATAAAAAATACGCCAACCGGCTGATGATACTAAACAAAGTCCCCGAGATACCAGGGAGATCACTCATCAGTACACTCATCGTAGAAAGATGCACGGATGCCGACAAGGGCAATTACGTGTGTCGCAGCTCAGATCTGGATACCACCAGTATAACAGTTCATATTTTAAGCGGTAAATATCTAATAAATAAACTTTCATGATGTAAAAATATAAAACGTATCAAATGACTTTTTTGTTTTCGTTTATAAAAAGTAATATCATCACGTTTCCTCTACGTTTCCAACACGATTTATCTAGTTGTATATATATATATTGTTGTGGTTTTATTTATCATGTTTCTGCATTTGTACATTGTGATAATTTGTTGATGTGCCTTTGGTGGCCACCTTGTGTCCGTTTGCTATATTTATTTGCGGAATTCACGCTTACTGTTTTGTCGTGTATTTATCTATAGTATGATGGAACAAGCAGACGATCAACGCTGAAAATAAGATTGCATAATCCTATCCCTGATAATGATCGACATATTTTGTATTTCAATTTACATAAAAGTGGGTGTATTGATATGTGTATCAAAGATGCACAAACAATGTACAATCAAACGTGTCGTTAAGTTTCAAGACCGACTGGTCACTTTGCCAAACTGTCTGAGTGAGCGATTTGTGTTGTTTACCTGTTGTAAATGTGACGAAATTGTAAACTTTCTTTGTCTTTCAACAACTGGACCGTATATTGATAGAAAGCGAATAAAAACTGATCGAATAGGTAACTGATTGGATGTAGATCTTATAGCCCCCGTTCACGTTTAGGTCGGTAAGAGGTAATAAAGATTATTTAGCTGTACCGAGGTTCTTAGAAATGACCCTAGCCCAACATTTATAAAGAATTTGATGAAACGTTTGCCCAAAGTAAGAGATGACTCACGCATTACATATCAGCAATACAAGTTCCTCTACCTAACATCAGAAAACATCCCCATTATTTTGGCACCATTGGCAGAAACAACGCAACACCATGTCAAGAGCTCCAAACATCTGACTTCAAGAATGTCATTATTGAAGAAGAGGACATTTTCAACCCCCAAGACGTGGTTTCAATGTTCATCAACACACCTGTAAAAATAGTCATTAATATCACCAGAGAGAGATCAGCAGCACTCCAGAAGAGAACAAACCTTTCAAAAACAGCACCAGTGAACTTCTTACATTTGCTATGAACAATACATCACCTGCACAAAGTCGTCAACTCGAATTCTATCAACATTATTCGTGAAGAAGACAGGACGGATCGATTATATTCTTGCACTTGAAAATCACTTCAACTCAAGACCTGAACAGGAAAAAAGGGATGGACACCTACTATTGACCTAAACCAAAGAGCGACAAATTATGTTTGCAATTTCGTCATATTGTTTTACAGAAAACAACACATATTGCACACTCAGTCATAGCTTGGCTAAGGAACCAGTCGGTATCGAAACATTGTGACATGTTTGATACGCACGCCGTTTTGTAGAAAATAATCTGGTGCATGTTTATATGATAAGTGCGTAACGGATGAGAGGGACACATAATTTTACATTAGTAAAATACAGCCACCAATACTGCATACAACAAATCTATGGTAGTTTATACAGTTATGTTAGTCATGCTTATGTTATCAAGTGTGCCAAATAATAAATCATTATTTAGCTGGTATAATGTTTTAATAACCAAACGCGTTCTGCTAATCTTCAGTTTCCTAGTAATAGTAAATATTCTCAAAGTTGATACGATGAAGATTGCACACAGTTTACACGAGTTATATGATTGTTTCGAATTCATAGTTCATGTTACAAAAAAACGTAATTTATTATACATTGGTTCTATTCATGTATGCATATCTTATGAAATAATTATCTTTTTTATTCCATTTCCTTTTTGCTGAAGCAGTGGTAAAGGATGTAGAAAAGCGTAATGATAATAAGGGTAAGAAATTCGACGGATACAGCCCAAAGAACGGTAGGCAATCACTGAACGGTTACCACGGTAACATAACTGTTTTCCTTAACCTTGGTATTGTAAAATCTGTGGGTCATGCAACAACAACAACAACAACAACATAACGTTGATTTTAAATTTAAGATACATTTTAAAATGAATTATAAGAATAACCTATTAAATACTGACTAGCATTACTTTAGATTTGTGGACTCAAAGCGGAAATTTAAAAAAAAATGAAATGCGAAACAGGTGCGTTGAAATATAAATAAACACATCACTATTTTGTGTTTATATTAACAACTGATACCTATTCGACCCATACCGATTATGGCTTTACCTAAAACGAATTTGTTTTGATTTGAAATATTAGTGGTAACCTTCTTGTGATTTCTACCAATGCCTTGTTGATCAAAGACTTTTAGCTTATCGAGTTTGTACCGTTTTGTGGTATATGTAAATTTTGAAATTGTCTGTATCATGTCTTTTGGTGGTAATTTAAATCCCCATACATGCAACCTTTGTTTTGATTTCCATTATTTTGAACCTTGTCTAGATGAAGGTTTTGCCGTTAAGTTGCCGTTAATACTATTTGACTTTGAACAAGTCACTTTCTATTCTTAACTTTTATCCCTAATTTCTATCACTTTATGTTGTACTTATGTTGTCACCATCATTCATGATGGGTTTCTTCATATTTGCTTACATCTCTTTCTTATTTTATTACATACAATTTAGCAATAAAAGCAGTTCTGAATTATAGTTAAGGTAACGTTTCAGTGTCGTTATTAGAACGATAGACATTAAATTGCGAAACATTTTGTAGATATGCTTATAACAATCTTCAGCGATTTAGGCATAACCTTTAACAAATCTTATAAATAATAAAAAGCGAAAGTTTGAAATGATACGATATATATGCGTACGTAAATCTTACCATGGCGCAGTTTTAATTGTTCAACTTGATTTTATTTTTTTTAGTCTAAAACATTCTAACAAATTACTTCTTTTCTTCATTTTCAGATACGGGATCTCCGGAATTGCAGCAAAATAGAGTGAAAGGGAATAACAGCACGCGCCAATTACATTCTACTTCCGTTTTCTTAGTGACAGTATTGATAGGCCTTATATCGGCCATAAGGTGACAAGTAAGATAGGCTGATAGTATCCCCATACGTTATGGATTTCACGCGGGAACTAACCTTGGATTGTTGGGACAAATTATGATAAAACTGTGCCTTAACTACATCAATTCCACGAATCTGCCTGTTTCTTATGATGTGAGTAACAATGAGGTGTTGGTGTGACTTCACCACTGAACAGGCGTACTAAAGACGGAACATTAATTGGAACGAATTGGGGACCGGAAGTTGTGTAATTGTTGCTAGGAACAAAGCCAGTGATACAACTATACTATGTAGTTAGAACTGTACTATACACTTCACCTCCTAAAACCTGCTAGGTCATAGATAGTCGTCATACATGACCATGTATATAGTTGCATAGAAATATCATATATCTGTGGAAATAGTCAGGTATATGATATACAGCTGTGGAGACCACACGTTATGTGTGGTAGAGATGTACATTTGTATATAGTTATATTTATTTACATTATATATAAAAATATATTGTGTATATACGAAATGAAATCCACAACACAACATGTGTACGTACCAATCAAAATGTCTACGGAACACAGAAACAGTGAACGAGAGAATACTGCCAGATACGTGTTACAGTGAAGACGATTCCAAAAGATTATGAAGTACAATGATAATAAAGAATATAGTTTAACTCTTTGTTTTGATAAAGAGTATTTTCAGAAGTACCATTCATAAGACATTTCTGGAACGGGCAAACAGCTTCCGTGTTATAATGGAAACAAAACAAAATCAATATTTACACATTTTGAGTTAGGAATTAGTCAAATACCCATCTGGATCATTACCAAGGCTACAGCAGAACTGGACGTCTATCGGTGAGTGACGTGAACTGTATACAAATTGATTACGATGAATGTGTGATTTAAGAAATAGATCTAGAATCACTCCTACCAAGTCTAAGCCACTTACCTGTACCGATCTATATTTCGTCGTTAGAGCGGAAGTGATATCATCACTACGAAGAGAATATATTATAATCGTATACGTACACTGATGTTTTCGTACTTTTACAATGAAAATGCACTGACTTTCATTTAAATAGCATTAACTGATGCGCGTGCAAAATACGTAACTTTGTTACGACCCCACCATTGCATTCCATTCCAAATCATATTTTACAACGACGGGTTTTTTCATATTTCATTTCTTTTTTTCAGTTGTCTTCAATCGCTGGAAAATGCCGATCAAAACTATTTAGGTCATTGGTGTCCTCACTGATAGTAGTAAACCCTCCTGGTTGTGAATATGGGTACTCGAGCATCAACCTTTTTAAAAAGTCCACAAAGGAGGATGTTGGTGTATCACTGAATCACCGCGTAGTAATTTGTGGTCATTCATTATTGAGGATAAAGCGTTCACATATATTGCAAACATATTGTACAAGAGTATACAGAATCTCCTTCGTAAATATTGGAACTCATTTATTAGTGTCCAAAGAATACCATCAATTCATGCACATTTATGTACTTAATTCGTTTAGAAACTTCAATCTAGTTTGTAAGACTTCATATAGTGTAAAGTATTGTTTAAAATCATCATCCGAGAGAAACATAACATTTCCGATTATTTAATGTTAAAATGACATGTCTCCCTGTTAGATAGATTCAAACTTACCATGATATTTACGTTATTTGTAAAGCATTCCATGTATGCAGAAATATCCGAATTGTAACTGAGAAGGTAGCAAGAAGGGTGGACCTTCAGTGAGAAGGCGACTCCGTGTGACGTGGTATATAAGAGCTGTTATATACTGTCTGATGAATGATTATTTGTTTTAAATGAGATGTGTTTGCATGACTTGGACTCGGTAGACAGTGTGACAGGACAAATCGAATGAAAATATTGAATAAATAGTTTAATTTATGTTACTAATTTTAACACGTATTTAGTATTATTTTCAATATGTACAACATATGCCTCTACCACAAAAAAACTTTACGCATCCTAGTCAATATCCTGCTCATAGACCAAAAGGAAACTAATTAAAAAAATCCAACCCGTGATATATTATGCTTTGAAATGTGCTTAAACATTACAAGTACCTTCGATTCAAAACAAATGTTCATAATTCTACGCCCTATGTTTACTTTAAATAAAATTTCGCTTTTCACTTTAAAGCGATTTTATATCATAAAGTTAGATTAAGATCATTATGAAAACCACGAAAAACTGTTGGGTCTTCGATCGAAGCAAATCGATGCTTATTGACATATTACTGGTAAGGAATTATGTTGCATGTTTTCCTTCCCTATGTACTTAAGGTAGCTAAACTAATCATCATGACAGTTAGTCACAAATTGCAACTGTCTCGTCGCCGTTTACCTCATCAGGCGTACAACAATATAACTCAATAGATGTATTTGTTTGAAACGTGTATTAGATACTATCATTTTTTCCGAAATTAAACTGCGGGTTTTTAACAATGAACAACATGGCACATTTCATAATTGTATCTACACGTTCTGCGATGCATTTGCTTCTTCGTAACATATATGTATTTTTACCTACTTTTAAAATATCCATATTGTGATATTATTGCATCAATTTGCTGAATGAATGAGTGATTGTTTTCTCATTTTTTTCAGTTATTTTCTGTCAAAGTGTTCATATATCTAAAATATCAGAGTAAAACAATTCCAATGTAATTCAAATGCGAATAAATAGTTTTTTAAAAACTAAGAAAGATACGAATGTACTTGAATCCTGATATGGAAAAAGTTATCTATGTAAATGTGTGTGTGAAAAGACAAATTCTTTTCATTACACATCACAAGTGTTTAATCATCACAAACGTCTACCTATACATCTATAATAATAATAGCTTATGTCTGATCACGCGGTATTGATCGGTTTTCGTGTAAATACTCTTTTTGATATTTTGAATCAGTTTACAAATATATTTACTATACGTGGTACACCTCAATACCAAACAAACCTTCTTAATTCATTCATTGTAAATAGACAATATTTGACGTAAGACAAACAATAGTTTCACTCGCCTATCTTATCATTCGTCATGGCCATCCATATTCGTCCCTTGTTCTGTATGAAGATTGATTTCGAATATATCAGTAGTGTACCTTATTCTATTCTGATCATGTATGTGTTCAATCGATCATTATTAATTAGTTAAGTCAGTAATTGTATCTCACGTTGATACTTCTTACCTTAGTCAATTATCTGTGTATGTTAAATTCTAATCTTGGAAATATCTGTATAAATTGGTCAGTCGATGTACCAATGTTGTCTCATTTCACAAAGCCATCATGATCATGTGAGTCGTATATTGTGTTTATAACATGATATTCTCATCATTTAAGTTGTGACATCGTTGTTTGTAATAATATGACATGACGAAGGCATTGCCAAGCTGTTGGGTATGTGACGGCGTCTCTACGATCCTCTAGTGTACGCATGTAGGTAATTATGTCAATTTATCATTGTCATATATTATAACGTCGCATTTATTTTATTTGTTTAAATCAAAGAGTTATTTATTGTTTATTGTGACAAAATAAAAGAGCAAGTGTTGACATTACGACGTTGTTTGCGCTTATATTAAAAACTGGTTTTTACTTCACTATAAACAAACATACCCAGATCATATTACATATGATACGTTAAGTTCAGGGTTGAAGACGTTTTAACGAAGCATTTCATTGTACATATACGTACCTAGAAATAATGCAGCCCCTCTTTCTCTGATAAATTATCTTTTGTCGCTTGCAACGCTTATTCAAAAATATTTTTTCTTTTCAATCTCAGTCAAATGCTCGGATCTGTCAATATCAATTCATGTATGTTTGAGCTCTTACTGGGGAAGGACTGCATGGAATAAATGTTTGTTTAATTATATGTTGTGATTACTATTGCATCTACATAAAGGGCAATAACTAGTGAACATACCCCGTGGGATAAGTACATGATCGTATTCACTATGCTACTGCTATGAAAATAAAATGCGGAACTACTTTTTGAAATGTCGGCAACTTCAATGGAAACATGATGAGAGGCCCCCGCTTTGATCACCGGGTGATTCCATTGGATTGCACTTTCTGACGTGTGACTCAATGAATGTGCACATACTACCATTGCAATAAATGTAGAATATTATAAAAAATAAAATAAAACTTCCTGTCTAGGAATAAAAAGTAAAAAAAAAGTTAAGGTATTTTTTAACATCGTCCGCTCATCAACAATAATGGCAGTTGCACCAACATTTAACATCGGCGAACCTGGTGATATTTTGGGATGTTTCGGACATAATTGCGACATTGATGAAGTGGAAAGACAGTAAATGAAAGATAATGAACAGAAGAACTGATCAATATTTTGTTGGACTTATTTGACATCGGGAATTCTGCTAGTGCTTCAACACCAATATCGCCGGCTCAGGCAAGGACAGAAATGGCCAGAGCAATGGAAGTGGAACAGCCCCTAGTAACAGTTGTCAAATCTTTAATTTAAAATTGTGCTACAGTGTGTTTGCTATCTCAAAACATGAAAAATCAAATATAACAAGAACGGAGATGCAGAAGTTCCCGCAAATATAGTTTTCCTTTCTTCTGTTCATCTGACTCGAAAAAGTAAATTTACATTTTCAAAAGACTTCAGGCATAGAAAACATCAAGAAAAACAAATGTTTAGCAAACCTTATTCGAGCTCAAAGGCGATGAATCTCCTGCAAATTTTGAATAATTTTACGGGACAATCGTTACAGGAAAACGGACCTTACTTCCTATATGACATTTAAATACCTTATTGTATCTGAAAAGCCTACTGACAAAAGGTGCAAACTCTAAGTCGGCAACTACACTGTACTAGATATTTTAGCAGATCATCTCAACGACTTTTGTTTGGTTGTTCTGAAACTGAATTTATGATAATTGTTATGAATCAGAACTGTTAGAATAACAAGCAGCACGTGTATCATCTCATCCTAGCATGAAATTGCAGACAACACAGAATCATTTTCGTCGGCTTTTTATTTTAACATTTACAAGTGCATGTACCAATAGTGTACCAATAATGATCACCAGACTACAGAACACGTATGATAAACGTGAAGACTTAATTGCACGCAAACGTCCTTCTGTCAGCAGTAATATACAATGCACCAGCGCCCCTTGTTCTATTTATGGAGCTGACATGTAAAACCTTGATCCCTTTTCCTTTATCGGGACTCTCTGATAGTGTGTTCTGGTTCCAACACAGTTGAAAATATTTAACAGTCTTCATCATAGCTTATTACTGGTTGTGACATTTCGTTGTCTACTTTTCTTAAATACTTAACTTTACTTGTCATTTTGTTTTAGATTATTGGTGGCCTACACACTATGTTATATTTTACAGGCGACATCAAGGCCTTTTCTACTTGTGAAGAAGAAAATAACAGCAAGCAAATTTCTTTTCTGAACAATGCATACATCTTAGAAATAAACATAACCACTCCTTTACCTTTTTTATATTCATACAATTCATTTAATTAAGAGGTTTTATGTACACTTTTACCTCCCCTTCTGGTTCGATAGCATTTTAAGCACTTTCGGATTTAAACATTTTTGGCCCCTAGCATCACTGATGGGTCCTAATGTAGCAGTGTATGTAGGGTGGCCATGGGTGATATTTTTGTACAATGAATAACCCCTGTAANTGTAAAAAAAAAAAAAAAAAAAAAAAAAAAAAAAAACATCTCTAAAATTGACATATACATGATGAATTGGACTATGTTGGTTTCACACTTAAAAATTAAAAAATCGAATTTGGCTTGAGACTACATTTGTGGCCATTTACGAATCTGTGTCTACACTCTACACAACAAAAGATAGCTTTTCATGAAGTCTATTTATGTACTCAGCACATGTGTGAATATTGTGAAAAATCCAGTTTGACGACATATGCTAAAACGTGAGTATTTATGTGACCGAGTAGGTGATAATTAATTTAAGACAGGTTTTGGGTCAAATTTTGGGATAAAAATCATGTTTTTTTGCATTTTTTGGCTTTTTTGATGTGGTAACCATTGTTTTCACAAGTCTCAAATCTGGGGAAATCACTCATTAAAAATACTCATTCTTCTAAAAAAAACGTAATCAAAATGTAGTTTATGAATATATATATATATATACGTAGGTGTGGTGTGCAGGATGAATCCGCTATCCATGTTTATCCGAGACATGCCCTTTATTTTTAGGGTCAAGCCATTTCTACTGTACTCTGCTACCTAAACGTACAAAACAGCTGCGTGGCTCAGGGTAATTTCTTCTTGGCAGATTTATCCATTACCGAATTAAAAAAAAGATATATAAACGCTAAATGGAATATCTGAACACATATCCATACCCATGTAATAAACATATCACAATACAGACAACATAGCAAAACCAACAACATAGCACATAGTTCATCAGCATTACTCCAGATATACACGTGTAGTACTTATACGTTCATTACACGAATACTAGCATGTTTTAATAAAACTAACAAAAATCAAGAGCATATCAAGGTACCAAACAACTAGGGCAAAACATGAACCAAAAGAAATATTCACGTGGAGAAACTTGTGTACAACTAAACATTGAATTTTCCCATAATGTGGTATATACACTTGTATAGTTCATACATTCCACTAAACAAAGTATACATGCTATAAATACAAATTAACGTTGCATACATTATAACATATTACAAATATCACACACTCCATTAACCATAGCGTACATGTAAAAATATCAATAAAGCATAATGCGCCTGATATAAACACCAACAGCATATAAAGTGTAATGTAAACACCGAGCGTCTTTTATAAACACTGCCAAAATATTCTATGTTTACCAACATGCATAACAGCAACCACTATAGCCAATAAATATACTATATTCTGGGTCTGCTCTTAACAAGCTTCCGTACATTTAACATTGTTATGTTATGGTCGTTTGAGACTAGTACTTAGGTAAACTCATTGAATGGCATTTTGGTGTTGACAATTTAATGTCTTCCCTTTGGTTTTTATTGTTCGTCAAAGAATGAAAAAATAACAAGCTTTATATTTTTGTTCTGCCACGTGATAGCCCTAAAAACAGAGTATGTACTGCTGGTATACGGCGTACTCCAAAGGTGTGATAATGTGCAGCGCACGTGTCTGAAACCTTCGTTCACTTAATGTCAAACAGTAATAAACGCATGCAATAATTATATTTCTAACGTACAGTGGTTTTTAAGGCAGGACAAGTGCATCTAAACTCAATTATAGCATTCATCGAAATTGTACCGTGGCACGCGTTGTTACCTGGCCCTATGCCTACATTATGTGGAATTGTATCTCTGTCGCTTAATCGATGTGAGCGACATTGTGACGTCATACTGACTATGACATCACATTTTACAATCAGACAATGTCATATTATGGCATAACAGTTGCCAAACAACACGTTCTTAATTTCGAATCCATTGCATGTAATGCCAATTTAGAGCTAAATGCAATATAACTATAACTTGTATCTTCTTCCAAAGGCGTAAACATGCGATAGGAAAGGTAAATAAAGTTATAAAAAATATACCACAGCGGCTACGCACAAGGACAATGTCGGAATCCGAGGAAGGCAAAAGGATCCGAGAAGATACGGAAGACACCATGTGAACCCGTACAAAAAAAGCATGCTTGCACCATTCAAATAATTCACCCAGCGAAATGCCAGATAAGACTAGAGCAGAATCGGACAAAGCAAGTTTTGGTGACTGTAAATCAAAGATGACTAAGAACGGATTGGTTTCGTTCCGTTACTTAAATTATTGAATTCTTATAATTGAATTATTATTGGCGATACATATGACTTTAACACAAACCACATGTGTATTGCGTTATAAAGTGTATATTCCTAAGGTAAGATGTGAATGGGAATACTCTGCCAAATGTACATATGATATTTTTGTGATTTCCAATGCATACATAGAGTCAAAAGGTACCAAGCATACACAGGACGAAAACATAAATAGGAAACCTGTCTTATCTGACACCTTCCTAGATACAACGCATAGGTAAGAATATATTGATTAACATTATTCTTATTCGAAATGTTTCATAGGTAAAGGGAAGACTGTATAATATCGAATCTGAGATTTAATCAGGGATCGAATTAGATAAATTTCATATCAACTAGTCAGGTAGGCTTGCATGTACATCACACTGAATATTTTGTTGCCGGACATTTCAGCAGTTTTCACTTAAATTGGTTTAATTGTGTTTTCGTGAATACATATTTTTGCGATCTCGCTAGAGTTTGCATTTAATCGAATATTGAAACTATATTATTTTTTTCTTGTAAAAAGAAGTTATACTTCTTTCTAAATACAGATCAGTGCTTTGTTTTAGGTAAGTAAAAGAAGGAAATTTAAGAAAGAACTGGCACCTCTTTGTTAGGATAACATTTTCGCGAACTAGTCTATGAACCGTGAAACCTTGTAAAATTCATCCTCGAAAATATCAGAGATACAATATTTTGTAACCATATCAGATACATACAGCCATCACA